AATTTGAATTCTACCATGACATTGAAGAATCGTTGATTCTGACTGATTAAAAAGAGGTATCCTTTCCGATTGATACCTCTTTTAAGTTAAGTTGTTTCTCACAAAAGATGTATGGATACAACAATAGCCTTCTTATGATCCATAAAATATGGCAGCCGACAACCCAACAGAACTGAATATGATTGATGGCGGATGTTTTTGATGACGATATGGTCACAATGATGACTGGTTTGATGATGACATATATTTTGAATACAAATGATAAAATTACAAAACACTTTTGGACACATGTCTTTTAGACATGTGACATTTGACCACTCTCTAAAGGGCATTATGTGTGCATAGTATTCGGCCATGGGAGCCGTGCCAATTTACACTTGTCTGAGGGGTACACAAATTACGTGATCTAGACTACTAAATGTCGAATGTTTTTGTGGAAGTCCTCTTTTGATTGTATTAAGGACTATGGTTAATCTTTGAGACAGGGATTTGCTGGACCCAGCAATATATATCTCTGTACGGACTTTTATGGAGCTATTGAAGTACAAGTACAAGTCTCTCAGGTAAAACAAGGGATTGGGCATGTCTTCAGCGTTTAGAGTCAAGCCAAAGGTTGATATCACTGATTAGTATTGACAGATTTCTTCCTCAGTTATCATTCTGGTTTTATATGTGCGATTATTTGATGTGCCACTTATACCAGGTTCTTTGATGTGGTGCTGTTTACTCATAATGGTTATGCTATTTGAGGCCTTGTTAGTAGGAACAACTATGTACTTTCCATGCAGACAACTGGCTGGCACAGAATGGGTTTGTTTCAATTATATTTTAAAGTTTGTGCACTTATCAATCCCATTCAAAAGGCTCCTCTTCTTTTTAGGCCCATTTTTGGCATATACTTTGACTGCATCCATAAAGACTTTGAAGATGTGATCCCAATTGTTTGGAGATTGCTCTGGATATTTTGGTCCATATGTGAATCACTGACGAAAGTCCTGTGATTATGTGCCCAATAGGTTGGTTTTGTTTGTTTGTTTGTTGTTTAACGCCGCACTCAGCAATATTCCAGCTATATGACGGCGGTCTGTAAATAATCGAGTCTGGACCAGACAATCCAGTGATTAATATCATGAGCATCGATCCGCGCAATTGGGGATCGATGACATGCATCAACCGAGTCAGCGAGTCTGACCACCCGATCCCGTTAGTCGCAATTTACGACAAGCATAGTCGCCTTTTACCGCAAGAATGGGTTGCTGAAGACCTATTGTATCCCGGAATCTTCACGGGTCTCCAATAGGTTGGTAGCCACAAGTAGTTGAATTTCCATTATGAGCTGCCAAGTCCACGTTCTGCAACACGTTCCTGCAAGTGAACAACTTGATCTGGATGAAAGGGCGTTACAGGAACATGAAACTGTTGGTGGATGGTGTACTTTCTGTAACACTTTTTTGAAAATATCGATGCACTGTAGTTGCCCATGGTACGATTACAATTACATCGATGAATAGTTAAAGCATCAATTGTAAACATCGATGAATAAAGTTAAATATTAAAAGTATGAACTGAAACCACTGATTTGAGGTTTGAGACCTCGCTTTGAGAATATAATATACATGTGTATGTATGAGAATGCTTGTGGCGTCCCTGTGTGAGAGCGTGTAAATGGTGTCTGTATGAGAAGTGTGAAAGGCTGTTGTGTTTTAATGATAAAAAAAGGGATTCCATCATGTGATACATATATATTATGCAGTAAATCATTTATTATCACTGGTAATATCAATCATCACATTACAAATGATGTGCAAACAGTTAAATGTACGTATTAATATGCATTATATCGTGTACAATGTATTCTGAACCCTGAATAAAAAAAATATTCCAAAAAAAAGAAAAGAAAAAAGTATAACATCGATGTCGCGTTACACTTAATTTTATGAACCATAATTACTTGACAGTCACCCCTAGACTTCAGTGTTGTCATGTAGGCATCTGTTAATATTTGTCTCACGACCGTCATAATATATTTGATATTTGTTAAAGCTGCAAAGGGTCTTGTTGAGGTACAATAGACTGAATAATACAGAACCAAAGCGCAATTTCGAATTACTAAAGGGGGCTTGTGTGGCCAAGTCGTCTTACACCTACACCACTGGGCTACCCCGCTGCCGCTTAACAATAACCGGGAGAGCATGCACGGAACACTTTCACTGTTAAATTCCGGTTAGATCATGATGAACAATTCGTTTTATCGCATATTTGCAAATTTATCTTTTGTACAGTCGATCAAGCTGACACATTCCTCCGAAATGTCTAACTAATGTTTGCCTTAATGTGCCAGGATCTCTTCCTGAATGCAACGATTACATTGTTTTAAAATCGCATGTGTGTATATCACGTACAGGGAAACAAGTATAGTTGGGCGTTTAGTTGGTATCACTGGGTGTTTTATGTTCTGCTTCATGTTGATTGACTACTTTGTTACAATGGCTGTGTTGGTTTCTTTATTTGCAAAGAGCGGGTGAGTGAGTGAGTGAGTTGTGTTTGGCGCCGCTTTTAACAGTAATACAGTTATATCACGGCGTGTCAGCTTAATGTGGGAGGAAAGCCACAAGTGATGCAGGTCTTAGATGTTTACCACTTCGGTAAAACCCACGAACACGGGTATGGTGCTGACAAACCTAGAAACATAATTGGGGCGAACCGGGATTCGAACCCACAATCATAGGTTTCTGGCGTGCTCAAGGGTCGCAACTCTGCACAGCGAATCGAGACGCTTAAGACGACTGGGCCACCCGTGCCCCCTTATTTACGAAGAAGCCCATAGTAGTGTCATGTCATGCGGAAGCATTACCGTAAATAATGCAAGAAATAACAAATAAACTAATTCTTCATGATATATACAGCGTTGATGTCTCTACTTGTGATCAGGATATCCACATTTTTCTACATTTACACAGAAAGAGCCTTTGCTTGGACAAACTAGATTTTTAAATGAAATGAATTAATCCGCTTTCACATGACGTCTATCCAACAATGGTTTGACCGTGCTGATCAGTCTCAATTTGTGATTGGGGAACATAAAGATTTCTAGGCAAATATAACATTGAAAAACATTGATTAAAAACATCATATCTATATGCAATGGTATGGGTCTCAATAAAGACACTGACGCCAAATGGCTGAAACACTGTCGCTATATGGCTGACTGAAACATTGTGTTTGCCCCCTGAACTTTTAAGTAACTCACTGTTTCGCTATATGGCTGAAACACTGTCGCTATATGGCTGGCTGAAACATTGTCTTGGCGTCCTTAACCTCTACATATACGTCACCCACTGTGCCACTATTTGCTGAAACACTGTCGCTATATGGCTGACTGAAACATTGTCTTGGCGTCCTTAACTTCTACGTATACGTCACCAACTGTGTCCATATTTGCTGAAACACTGTCGCTATATGGCTGACTGAAACATTGTCTTGGCGTCCTTGACCTCTACATATACGTCACCCACTGTGCCACTATTTGCTGAAACACTGTCGCTATATGGCTGACTGAAACATTGTCTTGGCGTCCTTAACTTCTACGTATACGTCACCAACTGTGTCCATATTTGCTGAAACACTGTCGCTATATGGCTGGCTGAAACATTGTCTTGGCGTCCTTGACCTCTACATATACGTCACCCACTGTGCCACTATTTGCTGAAACACTGTCGCTATATGGCTGACTGAAACATTGTCTTGGCGTCCTTGACCTCTACATATACGTCACCCACTGTGCCACTATTTGCTGAAACACTGTCGCTATATGGCTGACTGAAACATTGTCTTGGCGTCCTTGACCTCTACATATACGTCACCAACTGTGTCCATATTTGCTGAAACACTGTCGCTATATGGCTGACTGAAACATTGTCTTGGCGTCCTTGACCTCTACATATACGTCACCAACTGTGTCCATATTTGCTGAAACACTGTCGCTATATGGCTGACTGAAACATTGTCTTGGCGTCCTTGACCTCTACATATACGTCACCAACTGTGTCACTATTTGCTGAAACACTGTCGCTATATGGCTGACTGAAACATTGTCTTGGCGTCCTTGACCTCTACATATACGTCACCAACTGTGTCCATATTTGCTGAAACACTGTCGCTATATGGCTGACTGAAACATTGTCTTGGCGTCCTTGACCTCTACATATACGTCACCCACTGTGCCACTATTTGCTGAAACACTGTCGCTATATGGCTGACTGAAACATTGTCTTGGCGTCCTTGACCTCTACATATACGTCACCAACTGTGTCACTATTTGCTGAAACACTGTCGCAATATGGCTGAAACACTGTCGCAATATGGCTGAAACACTGTCGCTATATGGCTGGCTGAAACACTGTCTTGGCGCCCTTAACTTCTACATATACGTCACCCACTGTGTCACTATTTGTTGAAACACTGTTGCTATATGGCTGAAACACTGTTGCTATATGGCTGGCTGAAACATTGTCTTGTCGCCCTTAACTTCTACGTCACCCACTGTGTCACTATTTGCTGAAACACTGTTGCTATATGGCTGAAACATTGTCTTGGCGTCCTTAACTTCTACATATACCTCACCCTATGTGCCACTATTTGTTGAAACACTGTTGCTATATGGCTGGCTGAAACATTGTCTTGGCGACCTTAATTTCTACGTGTACGTCAGCCACTGTGTGACTATTTACTGAAACACGTTTGCTATATGGCTGGCTGAAACATTGTCTTGGCGCCCTGAACTTATTCGTATACGACACCCAAGGTGTCACTCTTTGCTGAAACACTGTCGCTATATGGCTGGCTGAAACATTGTCTTGGCGCCCTTAACTTCTACGTCACCCATTGTGTCACTATTTGCTGAAACTTTGTCGCTATATTGCTGGCTGAAACATTGTCTGAGTGCCCTTAAATTCAACGTCACTTACTCGTTTTATACTAGTATCTGTATTTCGTTCCAGCTGATCTTGAACAAGAATATGACGACTTTCGGGATCGTACTGATTGGTAGCATCGCTTTGTGGTCAGCAGAGTTTCTGCCGGGTAAGGCAACTTTTTGTTTATTTGTTTGTTCATTGTTGTTAAACGCCACACTCAGCAATACTCCAGCTATTTGACGGCGGTCTAAATAATCGAGTCTGGACCAGACTGGACCAGTTGGCGAGCCTGACCACCCGATCCCGTTAGTCGCTTCTTACGACACGCATATCCACAAGCATAGGGTTGCTGAAGACCTATTCTACCCCGGATCTTCACGGGTCAGCAAGATTTTCACAGTGCGATCATAATTTATTGTGAAAGTCTCTCCTATACTTAAAACGAATAATTATTTCATATTTATTTTAATAGTCAGTGGTAATCCATTTACTCATTCGTTGATTGGTTGATTGATTGATTGATTGATTGATTGATTGATTGATTGATTTGAATACAGTACTTATAATTATAAGAAGCAAAACTATATATATATAGTCATAAGAAATCGCTGAAAAAAGCATAACTCATTATTCGATTCTGACTTTGTCAAAAGCATGTCCTTATGAAACACTATCAAATAGTGATGGCACCAGGAGTTCTGAACTGGTGGGCGTATCTTGCCCCAGTGGTGACACCCGTTACGCACACATATGAAGGCAAATCTACACTTCATATACTGCAATAAACCCAGTGCCTGAAGACATTATGAAACATTTAGTACATTGTGAATTGTCCCTAGAGATAGATGTACTTTATGTATTGTGGGCGGTGAGGTAGCCTAGTGGTTAAAGCGTTTGCTCGTCACGCCGAAGGCCCGGTTGACTTGGTCGATGGTTGATGATAAAGTTTACCGTTACTTGTCAACACTCTCCAGCGGGAATATCCCTTACCGTTGTGTTAATCTTATTAATATGTATTTTAATCTTGTTAGTTGTATGACTGAAAACGTAAATCAGATAAAATCATGCATCGGTAATAATTGCTTATTTTGGTTGTAGTATCGACGGATAGGCCATGCCAGGGAAACGCCCATCTTGGTGGAGAATACAACATCTCCGCAGAAATACCGTATGCAAAGTACGTTTGGAGACGCCCAGATGGACAGTTTGTCATCACATGCAGTCCAAATTGCAGTCCTACAGCTGGTTATAATGCAACCCTGACAAATGGTGGGAACACAACAAAGCTCATGATACAAAGCGTTGCACCTAAAGATGTGGGAACGTGGAGAATTACTAATACCTCTGAGTTCGCAACTACGTCTGCATGTAATTTAGATGTCGCAGGTTAGTATGCATGAAGACATCGGTTTTTTTTTAATTTACAGGGACTGATATCGAAAATGTCAAGTGAAATATAACTAAATATTTTTCCTAATTAGCATCATATAATAATTGATCAAATCTCCTCCTCTTTATTTTTTTCAAACCAAATAAAATTCATTTGGCACATGGCGTTTCGAATATAACAGCCAAGTTATAACTGATTAATAAAATATACGTGGATACCCGAATCTACTTAATGGATGCCCTCTTTTCGTTAGATTATAATTATTACGGAATGATACGGATGTTGTGTGAGACCAACAAAACACGCGTTATGTTGACGTTATTTTTCCTTTCTTTTTATCAATAGGACTTCCAAGCTGCAACATCAACAGCTCTCAAGCCCCTCATTCCCTTGAACCAAATTCGATGCTGACCCTCGACGTAGACATACGGGGTTACTTCTGCTCTAAACAGGCACAGTTTGATCTTACCAGTGGCCGTGAGGTACCCGATGTGTGGTTGAGGAACAAAACAGTCACCGACGCCACTAACACAGTCCTCGACACCACCTTCAACGTGACACTAAAGAGGCTTGGAAATATCAAACTAGACTTTACTTGTGCTAACACAACTTATAATCTTGCTTGTGGAGGGGTGAATACACTTCTTAAGAGTAAGTAGAAACTTTAAAATATTAAACAGTGTATATAGTATTTAAAAATTGTCTGAGATGATTTTAAGTGATCCTTTCATGTAATTTTCACCAGTATTTAACCAGTAGCTGTTCAGTCGCATGCTCGAGACGGATTATTCTCGGGCGTTGCAGTTTTATATTTACGTATATATGTAAAGATTGTTGTGTGTTTTTTCTCAAATCAGAAGTAAAAGAATTGATGTCGAAGTGCTTCTGTATCTGCTACAATTCGCCAGAGACAAAAACAGTGTTCAGTTATGTTCCACTAAGCCCTCAAAAGGTGTAGAGATTACATACATTTATATTCGTAAAGATTCTATGCTTTTCCTAGTGGTGATTTCTTTCCAAAACTGAATTTATATTATCATACGTAAGTGGCTCAGAATGACCTGAGACTGATGAAAATGACACGGCTTAAACAGGTTTCAGAATAGATAATGTTTGTGATTCTTTTTTACATGATTCGTTGCGGTAAGTGTTAATGATCCTTGGTTCAAGAGGCTGCTGTCCCAGTGTAAAAAAATATTCCATTAAATAAAATAAACTTGTTCGGGAAGGATGGATATCATTATTGAACATAATAACCACTTCCGTTTCCCGCTTATTTGCTTCCGTTATGAAACCCGCATTCCAACGGTACGAATTTTGAATATACAGGCCCTCCACAGTGTGAAATAAGCAGCTCTAGGAATGGATCTCTGATGCCTGGTACAAGCCTGACTCTCACTGTGAACATCACCAACTACTACTGCACTGAAGAGGCTGCGTTCAATCTCACCACCGGCAGTGTTGAAGAGGAGCTGGTAGGGAGTCATCATGTTGTGGACATCAACAGCACGGTCGTCATGAAAACATTCAATGTCACACCTGCACATAATGGAAACATCAAAGTCAGCTTCAGCTGTGACGACATAAATCGTGAACTAAGTTGCACTGGTGATGACACAATAACTATAGGTGAGTATATACTCTGCAAAAAAAGTGATTTTAGATGTATATGTTAGATATCACATAAACAATCAACAGATAGTAATTGATTGTTCAAAGCTGGCTCGCATCGTTGTTTTTGACCCAGGTTTTTCATATGGCACACATGGAACAGTAGATTTGCAAGGTGAAAGTAATCCGTTCTCAATATATTGTATGGCCACCATTAAAGTCTAAAACACTGCCTGCAGTGCGTGTTGCATCTGTGAGAGGTTCTGTGGTTGTTGCTGACGTGACGCAGCTGCTGATCCAGTGCGTCCCATCAATGATCAAATGAGTTTAAATCTGCAGACCTTGAGGGCCACGGCAAGACCTGGATGTTGTGATTCCTGAAAAAGAGCTGTTGTCAATCTTGCCGTTTTGGGGGGCATTTTCTTTTTGGAAAATAATTGGATGCACATGTTGCCGAAGAATCTCATTCGTGTAACGTTATGACGTTAAATTCCCCAGAACTTGCGCCAAGTCTTGTTCTTCAAGTGAGGTCCACAGTCTCACACTACCACCGCCAAATCTATCCACTTCGTACATAACGTTCCCTGCCACGCCTTTAAACACGACGTCTACCACCCGCACTGCGAGGCATAAAACGTGACTCGCCATTCAACCAAACCTATCTTCATCGCAGTTGTGTCCATGCTCTCTGTCCTTGACACCATTGACATCGCAGCCGACGATGCAGGTCCCTCAATATGACAACTCGCACTGGTCGTCTAGCGCGAATACCTTCAGCGCGTAAACGGTTCCTCACTGTCTGGGCTGATCATATCCAACGCAATCCTGGTACTGCCGTAGTTGTAGGGGTGGCCGTGGTTAGTCTTTCATGTAAGTGACGTAGCCGTATGAATCTGTCCCTTGCTCTGTACTGATACGAGGTCGACCGGATCTGGAAAAGTCATGTGTTGTCTCGTGTGGCTGATAACGGTTCCACAGTCTTGTAATGATGCATGGTGCTACGTGGTAAAACCTTGCTACAACTGCAGACGATTTTCCTGATTTCAGTAGGCCGATGGCGTTGTTGCGTTGGTCCGTCAGTCGTGAGTGAGTGAGTATGGTTTTACGCCGCTTTTAGCAATATTCCAGCAATATCACGGCGGGGGACACCAGAAATGGGCTTCACACATTGTACCCATGTCGGGAATCGAACCCGGGTCTTCGGCGTGACGAGCGAACGATTTAACCACTAGGGTACCCAACCGCCCCCCGTCAGTCGTGGCATGTTCACTTGCTGTAAGATTGGGATGGCATACAACATCAGTGTGTAGACTTTCATTTCTCATTTGTGCCAGGTCGCATCTTCGCGTGCTGACGTCAAACGAGGCGGTCGAGACCGTGAACGATCCTTTACCTCATACCTTGAGGATGGTTCTGTATATGTCAGCTAAACCGAAACCAAGCTGACGTCACACAGCTCTGTGGGACATAATTGCATTAATCATGCCTTTTCTTTGCTACCTTTGGCCGCCAGACAGACTTCTATTAGCCATGTTGAACAAGAATTAAGACTACACTTCAGAATAATTTCAAAATGTAATTTGTTATGCGTCTTGGGTTCTACATATAAACTGTCAACAGGAGTCTTTGACCTCGATGATGTATTGGGTCTATGTTTTCTAAGATAGAGGCTCATACAAAATCGAACAATAACCAAATAGCATAAAAGTCACATTTACCTTTGAAGGAAGATTACCTGCCATTCCAATTTCTGTTTAATGGTGTTTATATGCAAACTAGACTTGATACACAACGATATCATGAACAGAACCATAGAGTACAAGGACAAATAAGGACCTGAATATAATGTCCTGTTCAGTACCAATGTCTTGCTCTACAATGTCCTAATTACCTTTGGACATTGTTATGACTTATCATTCCTCGTTTGAAGTAGGTGAAATTTGTATTTCATCATTTTTTTCACCTTTGTAGTTGGAGTGACATCAACTGCAAAACCACCAACATCGACGCCTACGTGTGGGTATATTTAGTTGCCCCATACTCTTTCTGTACTTCTATTGGCTAATAATGTATAAAGTATATATCGTATCGATACATGTTTACATGTTGTTGTCATTAATAAACTCAGGTAATATAACTGAATACAAAAAAAATATAAATATAAAAAAATGGTATAAATAGAATCTGATAGATGTAGAATCTTCTCAAAATGATATTTTTAATATTATGTATTTTTCGTCCTTTCAGCAACAACATCGACTTCTACAAGTGCGTATAACTTGTACTGATATTCATTTAAAAATCATAGCTTTATGATACGTATCTGTGATCCAATTGTAAGACCTATTTCATTTTATTGAAACATTCAGTTAAAAACATATCTATCAAAACACATTCCATGAACACTTCTAATACAATAGATAATTAAAGATAGGGTACACCCTTTGGAGTGAGAAATAACATACTGAACGATTCATTTAGAATGTGCTGTCTTTAGAGCTTTTACGTGTGATTATATGACTGAAGTGTTAATTGCTTTTTTACTTCCACAGTGAAAGCCTCCACCACCTCCACCACCTCCACCAACTCTATCCCCACTTCCACCACTACATCTCCAACACCAGCATCAGTATCTGTTTACCTTATCATAGGTATAGTGGCTGCATTGCTCGTGGTGCTCATCATCATCTTTGTCCTGGTTGTCTGCCGCAACAGAATCTCACGGGTTGCAAAGAGGTACATCGTTACCAGGAAGAGGCCTCAAATTCAGAACTTGAGGGAAAATGAGAAGCCGAACAAAGGGAAACGCATGTCCCAAATCAACCCTGACAAAAAGACAGACTTTGTGAAATCTGTCCTTGGATCAACTCCAGGCCCTGATTCACGAGATAAAAGAGCGTCAGTTACAGAGATGCAGATATGACGGAAGGACCCAATGAAGACATCGCAAAGAGTGAGTGAGTTGGGTTTAACGCCGCTTTTAACAGTATTCCAGTTATATCACGGCGTGTCAGCTTAATGTGGGAGGAAAGCCCGAAGTGATGCGGGTTTCAGGCGTTTACCACTTCGGTGAAACCCACGAGCACGGGTATGGTGCTGATAAACCTAGAAACATAATCGGGGCGAACCGGGATTCGAACCCACAATCATAGGTTTCTGGCGTGCCAAAGGGACGCAACTCTGCACAGCGGATCGCGGCGCCTTAGACGACTGGGCCACCCGTACTACCGACTTCTCAAAGAGGAATATTCTATGTTAGTCTATTTTAAAGTGTTATTTTGGATACAACGCAGTCCATGAAGTTTATCTCACAACTAGTAGCAATGTGCAGCGATTTCGATTGTGAAAATACTAATTTAAAGTGAAAGGGGAATTTCTAAAAACGTTTTCAGACTAAATTTCAACAATGTTATCGCGCAGTGACAACCGTCAATATATTGTCCGACTGTTTCTTAGAGTGAGTGAGTGAGTGAGTTTGGTTTTACGCCGCTTTTAGCAATATTCCATCAATATCACGGCGGGGGACACCAGAAATGGGCTTCACACATTGTACCCACGTCAGGATGTTTCTTAGACAGTGGCGTAATTACACATAGGCAAAATTGCCCACACAAATTGTGTCTCCATCGGTCCCACCACTTCATCAAAGGGAAGCTACTCTAACTCTACTCTTCGCGCATTCGTGACCAACTCGTGTTATTCCGGGACAAGCCGAATGACTCGTGCCCCTCTCCGTTGCCATTTTTTGCGACTGGGTTCCGTCTAAGCGCAAACGGACATAGCTTAAACAATTGTCAACTCGTTGCGTAATGATTCACGCACATTTCCCACATGTCATATATATTCCAGATGCAATTTAAGACACTTCGGGACGTAAGGTATTATACAGTATGATTGAACACATTTAACTGTGTCTTGGGTATATTTTTATATGCAAGACATATGTAAAATCAAAAAATATACCTGAGGGGTTTGTTTGACGAAGAACTTGAAATCATGCGCGCATTCTGATTGGTTTGTCGTATTTTCGCACATAGCATTCATCGATAGGGGGACGAGTCTTCTTGCAGGTTACGGAAAGGGGCGAGTGGTGACGAATGCTCTTCGCGAAGTCACGTTTGTGTAGAGTCTGCCTGTCCATCCATAACGTTAGGAAGAGCAAAGTCAGATGTACACAAAGCGACATAATGAAATAAGGGTACGATTCGGACATATTTCGCCTAAATCAAACTGTTTAATTCGGGGGAGTGAGTGAGTGACTATGGTTTTACGCCGCTTTTAGCAATATTCCAGCAATATCACGGCGGGGGACACCAGAAATGGGCTTCACACATTGTACCCATGTCGGGAATCGAACCCGGGTCTTCGGCGTGACGAGCGAACGCTTTAACCACCAGGCTACCCGACCGCCCCTAATTCGGGGGAAAGGTCCCAAGCCTCTGAGGTCTACGAGCACAGATATGGAAACTGATCCCTCTAGGCTAGAGTCTTCACTAAATTATTTCGCAATATATATCTCCAAAGTTGCCAAGACCTGTGAAATGCCTCAGCTACGTCCCAGTTAGACACTGATTTTCGGTATCTTTGACTACTGTTTGATAATGATAACACCTATTCCGTTAGATTCTCCAGATTCCTGATGGTTTAATTCTGACTCTGTCGCCGATTGACAAGGCCCACGCCATGTTTGTTTGTAAACACGGAAAGTTGTTCTTATCTGACCTTTCCTATTTGCATCTTTATCCGTATATGACCGCAACTGATACCGTCTTCTTCCTTTTTCATTATCCTAGACACCTAGCCATTATACAATAAATTTAGATATTCTAATACTGAAAAAAACCCATTTAATATATGTTAGCCAAGAAACAGGAACAATTGTTCAAAAAAACATTTATATCTTTTCAAAAGAGTTGTTAGTTTTGTGTAATGTGTATGTGATAAAAAATAAAAAAAACCCATTAAGTCAGGTCAGTTTGTATGAGGCGACTATGCTTGTCGTAAGACCAATTAACGGGATCAGGTGGTCAGGCTCACTGACTTGGTGGATGCATGTCATCGTATCCCAATTGCATGGATTGATGCTCATGATGTCTGGTACAGACTTGATTATTTACAGACCGCGGTCATATCGCTGGAATATTGCCGAGTGCGGCTTTCACCAACAACAAAACAAAACAAAACAGTTTTATACAGCAACCAATATACAAGCAAATAACGTTCACCCTGATGACATCGACGTACATGAATAATGTATGATGAAAAATGCTACAGAATGTCATGGTAAATATATTTACGGGTTCAATATATTTAGTATGTCGGATTTCAGAAATATAGCTATCAAGCTAAATTGTAACATACAGTTTTAAAATACTGACGAAAACATCCGTTTCGTTAATTGTATTTCATCACTTTATACACATATAACTTTTTTGTTCTTTCTCCAAGCATTTCTTACATTTAACACGTAGCACGTCCTTGAAGGATGAGCGATTGAGAAGGATGAGCGCCTGAATCAGTGAGACGAGTGAGTCAGATAGAGTGAGTGATAGACAAGTGTGAGTGAGTGAATGAAAGAAAAGAGTGAGTGAGGGAATGAGACGAATACACTGGCCATTGTAATATGCAAATTCCTGATTGTATACGTCTTGGTTTTCAAACTGTTTGCACCCATTTTTTTCGCACAGTTGCAGATTAGTTTAGTGGATAATATGTCCATTAATTTTATGACTAACGTGCATTGATGTACATATGTGTTTATGACTTTATGGTTTTTTATATGCTTATTACATATGGAGAACCCTACAATGGACGCTGATTTTAGCAGATATTTCTTAAGCTTATAATAAATTATTTTTCGCTTTTTCAAATATTATTATTAGACTTATATTTAGGTATCAAATATAAAATTGTTATAAAGCTAAACCGATAAAAAGCAATTACAATACTAAGACAAACTGTTTGTACTTCCATCACTGAGAGGTTCAAGCAGATCTTTTGAAAGAGCCTTTCAGATGATCAAATTAACTGAATGTGCAGTATTTTCCCTATTTTCTTTCCGTCTGAGAATTGTACCAGTGTATTACATTTACATAGTGAGATATAGTGCGTTCAAGACGCCCTGCGGAATGTTCATGATCTGGTCACTGACTGAGGTTTGCTCTTTGAGAGCTCAGGTGAGACAAGAGGCATCTCTTGTTAATGACGTTGCCAGGTGTAGGTCTCAATCAATTATGTTTTAATTCCAGCCAGTCAACGTCAGCTGGACTAACTCTATAAGTGTATATATATATATGTGATATTTTTGTCATTATGTTTACTATTTGTATATTTTTATACAACTCTGAATATTTGTACTGAATTTAATCATTAACATTTGAAAAACTTTCGGACGAATTATACCTGCTTGTGTATTTTAAGATATTCCAGGATGAAACACATGTCATCTGATTAATTAATTTTGCTGTGCATGTATATACTGTTTTCATATTGATACAGGCGTTGTAATACTCTCATTATGTTTACTGTTTGAATATTTCACATATGTGTTTGTGCTAAATTTAACATTCAACGAACTTGCCGATTATTTATTCTTCTTTGATATCTTTGACAGGCATTTAGAAGTTGGAGTACTAAGTAAGGATAAGAATTTATGGATGAACAACTTCTTTATTACAATTAAGAGCGACGTTTCGGTGTAGGTTATTTATTCCATCTAAAGTATTTTAAGACTTTCCAGGAAGTGTCCGCTTATTATTTCTGTTGATGTGTATGTATATATTATTTTATTTTAATACCCCCACATGCGTTGTTATAAATGCCTTGACGTAAAATCTATCTTGTCACATGTTTAAATTTCGAATCACTGTTCTGTCATCATCTGTATCAGTTGTACGCTGTTTTGGTTTCACTATAAATAAATCATGCTTACAATAAGTTCTTATTGCTTGAGATACACTTGTTGTTGAGGGGCGGTGGGGCAGCCTAGTGGTTAAAGCGTTTACTCGTCACGCCGAAGACCCGGGTTCGATTCCCGACATGGGTACAATGTGTGAAGCCCATTTCTGGTGTCCCCCCCGTGCGATTGCTGGAATATTGCTAAAAGCGGCGTAAAACCATACTCACTCACTCACTAGCTATTTGTTGCTTGTGACCAGTTTTGCGAGGCATATATGTCAGGAGCAGAAAGCTAGGGTTCGATTTTCACATGGGTGCAATCTTTGAAGTCCATTTCCAGTGCCCTCTGCTTTGATGTTACTGTACTATTGCTGTAGTAGACAATATTTGCGGGATGAGACAATGTGTCATTGTTAATCTGATTGACACCCACACGCACAAGGAGTCAATTGTGTGTTTTAGAATATTAACATCATCAGACACAAGGGTGAGATAGAGGTCAAAGATTGTCGCCGACGCTACGTTAGATGCCTACAGTGTTACACTAGCCGACACCACCTAACATGTCTACACTATTACACTAGCCGACACTATCTTACATGCCTACACTACCTTACATGTCTACACTAATACACTAGCCGACACTACCTTACATGTCTACACTAATACACTAGCCGACGTTACCTTACATGTATACACTATTACACAAGCCGACGTCACCTTACATGTCTACACTATCACACTAGCCGACGTTACCTTACATGCCTACAAACCGCCTCCGTGGTCTAGTGGTAGAGCGTCGGCCCGGAGAGCGGAAGGTCCGGGGTTCGATCCCCGACCGCGTCACACCAAAAGACGTTAAAAGATGGTACTTGTTGTTACCCTGTCTGGCGCTCGGCATTAAGGGGCTAAAACAAGGACTGGGCGGCTCGGAGTCAATTTTCATGTTCCTGAGTGGGGTATTCATGTTAAACTGCGGCATGGTATCTCAGTGAGCTAGCACTATAAATCGGCATCAGTCCGGACTAGTACAAGCAGCCACACATACACACACACGTACATGCACGTCGCTATATAAGTGCAATAATCTTGGACGCGACGTTAAACCCCATTTCACCTCACCTCACCTACATGCCTACACTATTACACTAGCCGACACTATCTTACGTGC